GTCCTTTGTCTGAGAAAACAAATTTTGCCTACTTATTATGTGCATGCTCTTGCAGCATTATCAAAAACAATTCCCGAGTTAATGTTTGAACGATACCTGGAAATGAACCTTACAAGATAATTCCTATCTTTAGTCGTTCATGATCTAGAGTCTGGTGGCACAATAGTCTGGTCTTTAGTTGGGTACAAAATGGCTAGAATTTTGGTTGTTTTAAGCCGGTCTCTGACTCTCTCTCCACTTAAGGTGTGAGGATGATAAGTCCCGCTTGTTTTCATAGTGTATTGGTGTACAGTTTGGGGCTTCTGTGCATGAATTTATATTTCGCTATTTCATAAAAGTGGTTACCTTTCCAACTTTATTCAAACACAACCTTGGCACTCTTACTTGTACAAGAAGCTATTAGGATAGTCTCAAATTCTGCAGTACCCCCTTGTTTTGATGTTTACATTGATCAAGTGAATCACCTTTGTAATACCATTCCTGATTTTGTTTAGTTGTTTTGACCTCTCAAAATTTAAACCGAAAGAAATGGCTTATTGGATGTGATATCCAGGTGTGGTCATATGTGCTGTTGTATGTCGTGCTCTTCGCACTTGACAAACTGTCCGCTTTGCCGGAGACAGATTGAGCAGGCAGTGAGGACATTCCGCCATTAAGCTGTGTTTTGAGGTTGCATAGCCACCATTGACAAGGACACCCAAAAGCTGAGGTTTGGGGTCTAAGATAGGCCTGAATTCCTCTCTACAAGGGCAATGGAACTTTGTTAAGTGGAGTTAAGATTCTGATTGGCTACATATCTACAGCAATTGCTTATTGAAGTTTTAAAATTGTGGAAAATTTTACCAGTACAGTTGACATGTGCACGAGCCTCTTTTGAGACTTTCTCTTGCCCTTGTAGATTAAGTATACTGGATATCTTGTAAATTTGATGTGATATATGTCTATATGTCGCCTTCTTTGTTTCTATTCTGTTTGGTCATTCAAAGAGATGGTAATAGTCATAGTTGGTTCTGTAGAACCATCAAGTTGAGGAGTATGTGATGTATCATGCTTCTAACTACATGGGATAAAATGTGCTTATCTTTATATATCCATGAGGCCAAGCAGAATAAAAAAAATCGTGTCAATGATATCTCTCTAAGGTTTCTGAAGAACAAAGTGCTTGTTTTTTGTTTTTCGGTTGCATGTTGTATCAAGCGCCTAATTACAGTTCAATGCACGAGGTTCATGCATATCTAGGAAGGTTTTGATAAAACAAAATATATAAAAACTACCTAGAACCCGAATTACAAACAATCTAATCCTAACAGTGGGAGACAGGGAGCAGGGTAAGCACGCTGTGACGATGAAGACTGATGGAAGAACTCTTGTTTTTTTAAGATGAAAAATCCACATCCCTTTCTATAAGGCTTCATAGTTCATATTCATGTTTATTTAGGCGTTGAATTGGAAATAACACATTGTACACTTTCCTTTTCATCTAGGTTTACAGTAGATGCTTTAGCCAGCAAGTACGTCTAAGGGGAAATTTCTGAACCACCGAGTTTAATTTATCCAATCACAAGTTTAAGCAAGATATTGTCTAAGCATTGTACTTTAGAGGTCACGCTGATATATTTTTATTTTCTTCCCGTTTGTCCAACCAAAAATACCAATCAGAGGGATCGAGTAGCCTGCATAAATTGTTCTTTCCTGCTCTGGAAAAGAACACCCTTGTTGCCATAACCAACCTGAGGAAAGAAAGAGGAAGCAAGACAGAAGTTTTGAAACTTCTTATTATGGATCGGGTCACGCTGAGTTTGTATTGTGTCTAAATCATATTATGTTGAAATTTGCTCAATCAATGTCCGACCCATTTATTTATAATCATATATACTAGGTCTCGTGTCATATCATGTACAAACTAAGTTTAGCCATTCGTGTGGTGTCTGGCCAAGTTCATGCAATTCAGTCATTTAACAGGTCTAACCAGTCCAATAGGTTATCACCAACCCACTAAGATCAAACTTAAGTAAATACAACTTGACGGCCTAACATACCTCAAAGTCAAACAATACATCCAGATATCATAGTTACGTTATTTTTTTCATCTTACATTACCCAAATCCATTAATAAGTCATAACAAGCGAGCAGGATAAGAAAATCCACAAATTCATCAAATCAAAGAATGTAGTAATCAACCAAAATTGCAAGTTAAATATATTTATTATGAACAGAATTAGTTCAATTATCCATAAAAAACCTCTTTACACTAATAAATAAAGCTAATGACATATAAATCAAGGAAGAAAAGAATAGAAATTGTTGCAAATAGTTACAAAAATTTACGTTCTTGACATTTACTTCGTATCAAGCTTTCACAGGCTCATCATCATCTTCAATATCCCAAGTCAAATCCTCATCTTCTTCTGCAGCACTCAGTCGCTTCCGTAGCTCAGCTCTGTTCAGGCTCCCACCGCCAGTGACCCTCTTTTCATCACTGCTCCCAACATCCTCAATCTCATCCCACCCAAGCTCTTCCTCGTCTGGCACTGACTGCTGACTGGATACAATGGATATAGCACAATATCTACAAGATTCACCATGATCAGCCTTCCCTGTAAAACCACCTTGTCATCAGAATTCAACACTGCCTCATCATTTTTCACTTCATAGGTTTGTTTAGATGGTTCTTTCTCGTCAACCGCTTCATCAAAACTCGATCTACCTAAAATTGTCGATATCAACACTACCCACATTGGAATTATGTTCTTCCTTCCCACCATCAACCCTAGAACTTCCACTCTGTGATACCTCATAACTGTCTCCCTTCATCATTTGCGGCCAATCTTCACTTAGGACTTTGTTATGTTCCAGTTCCTCACCTTTTGAAGACTCCTTAAGCTCTTGCTCTTTATCATCCTCATCATCAACATCCCAAGTCAATTCTTCTTCATCATTAATCGAAACTGCTCTCTTTACAAGATTAGCTCTCACACTCTCTTGTTGGTTAAGCTTATGGACTCTATAGAAGTACCGAGACCAAAATGTACCATGGTTAATCTCATTCGGCACAACCCTTTTATAGATACCTTCCAAAGCTCCACTGTCGCCAATCAAATTCTCAACTTCCTGACTCTTCTCCTCCAACACAAACCCTAATTTCCAATTATTGTAATCCTCCAAATTCTCAGGTTCTTCACAATAAGTTTTAACGTCACTCTGAATAGTTCTTAATAGCGCATCGAATCTACTATACCGTCTCGAACTACAACTTGAACTCGTATCAGGCGTATCGTTTTGGAAATCGGAGGCGGAAAGAAGGGCTTCTTTACGGTGGGAGATGATCTTGGCAGTCGACTTGAGTACTCCATCGATTACTTCGTGAGCCGCTTCAATCGAATACGGGAGGTCCTTCACGGCTCGGCTTGCAACTTCGCGAAACAAAGAAGTTTCTTTCTTCAACCCCGACCCAAATTCTCTGAGATCGCGACGGTAGGTCTGGAGTACTGACCCCGATTGGGTCGCATAGCTCTGGATTAGACCTCCGAATCTCCACCCACCCCAGCCACCACCATCGGTCGAGTTAGGGTTTGAATTAGGTTGGCCGTGTGACCGGCAGCTCTGATCTTGGTCAATGGCGTCGTTCTCGTCGTAGTGTTTATAGGATGGGTTTGAGGGGGAATTGGGATCAGACTTTTGGGGATTCTCGGATTTTGGAGGGTTCGTATCGTCTGATAAGATGGATTTGAAGAAATTCATTTGCAAGTGAATGACTCAAAAACTAGGGTTAGGGTTTTCCTGAGATTTCAGAGGAGATACGAAATTGAGTACAAAGAGCTGTATCGTACGAGACGTATAAAGTTTTGGATACGGCAGAGTGCGTAATGCGCACTGCTTTCTTCTTGGGCTCACAACATTCTTAGTGGCCATTTAGGATGCTTCCCAAATTTTGGGCCTATGAGTAATCAAAAAAATACTTTTGAGCCTTTTGATGCAATTTGGACGAATTAACTCGAATTTAATTTTAACCCAACCCGAAATTAGAGTTTGGATTCAAATTTTTAAAACTGGGATCGAGTTTGGACCGAAAAATCTCAACCCAAATTAAATTTCAGACATACTCGAGTTGAGGTTTGGGTGTACGGGTTGAACCTGAATTACTTAAGTAGGTCAAGGTATTCATGATTGAAATTGAGCCAGAAATTAACCTAAATTTAACTTAATTTAAGCCCGAATTAGTTAACTATAATTAAGCCCAAAATTAACTTGGGCAATGCTCAACCACTGCGGGTTAGAAATTAAATTTGGGTTAGATTAGGATTGAAAGTTTTACAACTTGGGTTGGATCTACGTCACATCCCATATAACAAGCAAGGTTTTTACCCTCAAATTCAAACATGTAGATGCAAAATACTATCTTGCACTACTGTTACGTAACAATAAAAGCTTACTTATGCTGCTTTAGTGGCCTTCGGTTTGGATTGATCTTCTAACCCGTTCAAACAACCCAAATTACACCCCTATTTGGGGCCATTGGAGGAGAAGTTTCGTTTAATTAAAACTTAATTAAAGTTGAAAAAATATTACTTTATTAAATTTATGAGGAGTATATGAAACTTCGGCCTTAATTAAAAGCTTAGTTAAAGTTAAAGAAAACTTACGCTATGTTTGATACATGGTATTAGGTCTTAGGAATGGAATGAACATTCCATGGAAATCCTATTCTAATGTTTGGTTTGCAGGATTTAAAATTCATTTCCATTCCAAAGAATACCTAATCCTACAAATTATGGGATTGGGCATTACCAAATCTAACATGATATTCTTCGTTCCCATTCCACTCGGTAATGCCCCACCCAATCCATCGGCAAAAAAAAAAAAAAAAAAAAACCCTATTGGTTTGCTCTCTCAGTCTCTCTCGTCTCATCTCTCTCGCACTCTCATCACATCTGCATCTCTCTCTCGCACACTCTAATCACATCTATGGCGTCCCCCTCCTTCCTTTCCTGTCACTCTCTTCGGTGAAGCAATGCACCAGATCCACGACCAAGACCAAGACCAGATCAACTTCGACCTTTGCAACAAATCTCAGGTAATTTCTCATTCTCTTTTCACTACTGATATTTATTTTCAAGGTTTCGACACCACCTATGAAAACTAATCTCCTACATCGATACAAATGTAATTGGGTTGTGGTGATTTGGGTCTTGCTTTGAAAGTGTTTAAGAAAATGTCTGATAGAAGCATTTTCATTTTACTCACATAGATTGTGCTCTCAAATGTATTGTAAGGAGCAATTGTACTTATTTTTGTGCTCTCAGATTGCAAATTTCCTTTGGACACCATTGCAATGTGGCGTCGCAGTGACTTGAGGTTGTATTTTCGGATATCTTTCCCATCAATTATAACACGTCCAGATGATGGCTCATAGAATCGCTGTATAAGTGCAATAACTGAACTGTTACCACTCCCACTAGTAATTACTAATTTTACTTGGTGGGTTTTGCTCTTGGATAATTGTTGGTGTTTTGATCTATACTTGCTTGATGATTCATTTTGTATGGGGAATTTGATGAGTCATCTATTTATACATGGTGGTAATCTCTGTTATGTATTTTCTTATTTGAATTTATAATTGGTGCAGTTAAAGTTTTTATACTTTTTAGTACATGTTTATGAGATTGCTCTCGAAAATCACTGGCCTAAAGTTTGTCTACTGTGTCTGAAGGGTGTGCCCACAGTAGGAAATACTAATTTTTATTAAGAAAAATGAGTAGGAAATAGGAAATACATGTTTATGCTTTGTTATTGATTTGAATTAGTTCGTGCTCTATGAAATTATATTTGAAATGAATGAATTAACGGTGCAGGATTACAACTACATGAGTTTTGATTCATGAGTTTATTCAGGAAAATAAATGTTGCTTAGATCAAATTTTTAAGCTCATATGCTCAAAATTATCCTTCAACCCCGATCGTAATACCAAAAAAAAATATCCTTCAGTGCTGCCAAATAATAAGCCATTTTAAAGGTAACAATATTGACTGTCAATAAGCTGTCTCTATTAGATTTATGCATAAGAAAAGATTCAGTTGCATTGTAAACAACAGAAAAATCATATAAAGGGTAGTGTTCTGATACTTTTACTCTCTTATTTCTTTTTCTTCCAAACTTAAGAAATGATACTTCAACATGATTATGGTATGCAATATTTATTGCCAATCATAGCTAACAATGTCCATGCATATGATTGTTTCTCCCTCTTAAAAATAATCGTCTTGGAATGATCCATATGTGCCCTGTAAAATCCCATCGACCGGCGCCTCTGTTTTTCCTTCCCCGACTAGTGGCTGAGAAAAGAGCGTAAATTCCTGTAATAAATTTTCTTTTGTGAACCCATATATGTGTTTGTGTGTGTGGTTGAGTGGTGTTTGGTTATGAAGGGGATAGGGACATGTGTTTTCGAAAATGAAAGGACTTACCCAATATTATTACGATGGTCACATCTCTAAAGTTTCCATAGAGAACTTCACTTCAAATCAGACAAGTTATTCATGAGTTTTAGCATTTAGTGCAATGGGGCTAGTCAGTTTTTATAAGACAAGTTAACTAGTAAATGCACACTTAATCTATCACAATGACTTTTTTGTAAGGAGACTATTGTCTATGACCATCTCTCCATTTAAAAGAATGGAGAGATGGTCACCAACCTAGAACGCCTGAAGAGTTCTTTAATATGAAACATTCTTTTGCTAAAAATGTAATCGAAAGATGTTTTGGGTTGCTAAAGAAACGTTGGGCTATTTTAAGAAGTCCGTCTTTCTACTCTGTCAAAGTACAGAACCGTGTAATAATAGCCTGTTGTTTGTTTCACAACTACATCAGGTATCAAATGCCAATAGACCCAATTGAGGCGGAGGTAGATGCAGCAGGTCTCGTGGTGGAAAATAATACACATGATGATCGTATTACCACAGTTAAAATATCCAACGAGTGGTCAACATTTAGATTGAATTTGACAAACAAGATGTTTGATGAGTGGAGAGCAAGTAGACAAAGAGTATAATTTTTTGTGCTTATATTTGAGAATCATTTTGTTTCTTAAAATTCTACATTAAATGTTATTGAGATGAAATGAATGGAATTTAAGAATTCTTGTTTTTATTCAATTTGATTTTGTTTTCAGTATACTGTTAATTATTTTTTGGACTTATTTTTCATTGATTTATTTTTTGGTTCAGCTAGCATGTTCGGATAAGATTCTTAATTGTCTTGATAATTTTTTTTTTTGGATTTGCACATGTGCTCTATTGAATTCACAAAGAACTATAGTTGTTCATTTGAAATGAATGACAAATTTTGAATATTTTTTGATTTTGATTTTGATTTCTTTTTGTGAACTTATTTTTGAAGGAATTTATTTTCTATTTTTTTTTAAAAATTTATGGGGTTTAATTTTTTTCAATAGATTCTCATATTTTCTACTTATAAATTTTTTTACGCATAACTTTCAAAGGCAATCACAATCATAAAAAAAATTGTTATTAATTATTTTTAGTCACTCTGGATATTTTGGTTAAATTTCATTCCATTCCAATAAAAAAATTGTTTTATCCAAACTTTGGAATGGAATGAGCATTCCATTACAAGACTTAATCCTAATTAATTGTCAAACATTGGAATGGTAATGTGCATTCCATTTCATTTCCAAGTTCATTCCATTTCTATGTTCATTTCATTCCTACATAAATGCATTACTGCGTACCAAACGCAGTGTTAGCTTTTAAGTAGTCATATTATTGGAATCCAAAAACCTTTTTTAGATTATGACCATTGATTCAATCTTTCATTCAAAAAATTATGATCGTCAAAGTTGATTAAGAGAATTATATTATACAAACTTAGCCCATCATTTGAAAAATGAGGGAAAATGGTATTTATGAGTAATCATAAACAGGGGTAGTAAATGTGTTATGTCGTATTATTTTGAGTTTGTGTCAAATGCTAACTCAATTCGTTTAACTAATCATGTTGAGTTGAGTCGAGTCAGCTTATTTATTTTTACGTCTTGTTCGTGTTGACTTATATAAATTCGTGAATAAAAAAAATAATGCTCAGATTTAAGTCTAAAATTTAATTTTTACTTAATCGAATCTGATTAGATCTCGAAAATTATGGCCCAAGTTCAGTTATGGACAGGGAGTTGATGAGTTTTATTTAGGTGGTGAGAACTGAGGGATAGCCTAGTCGGTAGGGAGAGACACATGAGTTAAGTGGTTCATCCCAGTTGGCAGACTGAGGTTACATCCACTACAATGGAGTCTCTTGCTCCTTGAGCTTTTATATTGATTCTTTTCTGAAGTAAGTAGCATTACAAGCGCTGGGCCATTACAGGAAGTTATATTCTAACTCATGCATTCTTGGGTGTTAGAACGCCCCGGAGGAGTTCCCATCGGCTCCTCTTATCTGCTTGCTGATTTTGTGGGGACCTTCCGTCCTTGCCTTGCAAGTAAAACCCTGTCAGCCGGCGTTACTGTACCTATTGTGCCTGGGACGTTACGCACCACCACTCCCTGCAGGTGGGTGTGATTGTTATAGGTTTCAGAGATGGTCCCCTTGTTCTTTTGGGACGCATGGCGTGGTGGGATGCGTCTATGGCTAAGGTTTGACTTCTCCCTCTCTGACTATCTTTCGATTAGGGCCGGACCGCCAGTCCTTTTGGGCTTTGCCTTTTGATACGGGCTGACTAGGTATGCTTCCCTTAGGCCAACAGGTAAAGTAGAATGCTTTGGGCTCACTGGGCTCCGTGGCCATGGTGGCCCATACTTAAAATTCTGTCCCAATCAGTTGCCCCCCAGCCCCTGGTCACGATGATGACGTCATCTCTGACCTGGGGGTTAGAAAAT